GTGCCTCACGGTCTTGGGTCATTTGACCAACGAGTCATTTGACCTACAAATATTCAAAATTGCACTTTTACCCTCATGCAACTCAGGAACAAAAAATAAACTTTTCCAAAAAAATTCATAAAGTAGGTCTCTAAATATCTACGTTATTTATGGACGAATTTATTTTTAAACGTTATTTTTGAATTCCGTACTTAACCTTACCTAACCTAAAAATGTTTGCATCCATAAATATCGTGTTTGAATTTGTAGGTCAAATGACTTGTAGATCAAATGACCGAATACCGTGCCTCACATCACGTACACAACACAGTCATACCTGTGTCTCACGTACAGTACTCCGTGTCTTTCCATACAAGTCGTACTGTACTCATAGATACTGACCGTTAGCTCAGATATCTCTCATCAATCAGTCAATTATAAGCACTCATTCAGTGCACAACACATCTCTTGTATTCATGTCTTTGTTAATAAAGTGTTGTTTGTTATCATTGAGTTTATTCATTGTGTCCACAACTGGATCAACTCATTGGGAAGTCGATCAAAGAACTTCATGTCCAGCTCACCACCCGGTGCTCTGAACATACGTTTCATGGCGCGGTCGATAGGATCGACGGGAACGACACCATTATTAGCAACAGACCACTCTTCGGGGACATCAACACAAATGGCAAACATCACACCACGTGGACAGCCTATGGGACACCACTACTGGTCACTCATCACCTGAGGTCGTGTACTGCGATGACGTCTCATCGAGTACTACCAGTACTCCCTACACAGGCATACCGAGACAACCCATTTGTCGCCAATGCCTCAACATTGGTCTCAGCGCTCGCCATCCACTTCAGGACTGCCCGGTCGGCACACCGACTGAGTCCGTGAGGGACAGCGCTTCCACATCCCCGACACCACAACACAGACTACACCACCACTACACTGGTCGGCAGCCTCTCCACCATAGGACGAGTCAACAGTCGCCGACACCAGTCGTATCACAAGTGGTGCCCAAAATGTCTGACGAGACACTCCCACCACTTATCGCATACACTCTCCGCGTGTCTCTCCAACGCCGGAAGAACTCACAGTCGACTCCCACACGAGTCGTATCACAAGTGGTGGACACACTCACACCTGATGT